CTCTGTGAGTTCAAGGCCAGCCTGGTCTACATAGTGAGTTCCAGGACAGCTGGGGCTACAGGAAGACCCTGTCTCAAAAAGACCAAAAAAAAAAACACAAACAAACAAACAAAAAAAACCCTGAAGTATGGAGCTGAGGAGATGGTTCAGCGGTCAAGAGCACTGGTTGCTTTTGTAGAGGACCCAGGTTTGGTATCCAGCATCCACATGGCCTTAACATCCATCCTCAACTTCAGTTTCAGGGGATCTGACACACGCTACAGTTATTACTTTGGGTGTGGCGTAATTTCTCCTCCGGCTTGATGAGTTCTTTCCAGGAAAAACATTCAACTTATCAAGTATAGGACAAGTCAAGTTCCACTAAAATTGAGACTAGGGTACTAAGTCATCAAAAGATAAAATACAAAACAGAATGAGCCCACATACACCAACTTTCCTGAACACATCTCTGCGTTATATAATTGTTAGAGCTTTTATTTTTTTTTCCAGAGAGCGTTTTTAAAAGATACTGTTTTAACATAAAGAATGAATTTGCATAATGGAAACTGATAGGTAATTCAGCAGTTAGACAGGTACAATGCTAATATTCAATAAAAACTCTTCTTTGTTTCTGTTTGTAAATGGTTATTTCTGTGGTAGAATACAATTAGTCAACTTTCTACTTCTATGACAAAATACCAGAGAAAATAAATTTTTTGGGCGGGGATGGGGCTGGTCTTTTTGAGACAGGGTCTCCATGTAGCCACAACTGGCCTAGATTCACTATGGAGACCAGGCTGGCCTTGAACTAACAGACATCTGCCTGTCTCTGCCTCTGGAGTGCTGGGATTGAAGGCATGTGTCACCATGCCCCAGTTGAAAAATCAATTTTTTTTTCCCGGAGCTGAGGAACGAACCCAGGGCCTTGCGCTTGCTAGGCAAGCACTCTACCTCTAAGCTAAATCCCCAACCCCTGAAAATCAATTTTTAAAAATAAGGCATGTTTATTCAGCAACAGTAACACATTTTAGAATTATAACATATAGTGAAAAAAAAAAAGAGCAAATTTCTCAGTTTTTAAAAATTTCCTGGCATGTTACTCTTTGAGATTCAGGGAAAAGAAATCAGTATTCCCAGGAAATCTCAAACATTACAAAATTATGATTATTTAAAACATATTTCTAACAATCTGCATAGCTTATTACTTGAATAGCTAAAATTCCGGTTTAAAGAGTAAAGTAGCCTAGCTTGGGTGGTGCACCCCCACACACCTGCTAGACCAATGAGAAAAATCAACTTAAAAGGAGAAAATATTTATTTTGGCTCATAGTTTTAAGAATTATTTTATTTTAAATTATATGTATGTGTATATGTCTGTGTGTGGGCATGTGCACGAGTGCAGGTAACCATAGGTGACTGTAAGTCGCCCAATGTGAATGCTGGGAACCAAACTCAGGTCCTCTGCAAGAGCAGTATGTACTCTTAACTGCTGAGCCATCTCTCCAGCCCCTGGCTCAGAGCATTAGATGTTTCAGTATGATCAAAAGCAGCCCTGCTGCTTTTGGGTCTGGGGTAAGGCAGTCATCATGTCAGGGAGCTGGTGAGAGGAGGATGCTCACCTCATGGTAGCCAAGAAGCTGAGAGGGCAAGTTCAGGGGCATGCACCAGGTTCCTATTCCCCTACTGTGACCTCTTTCCACCAGGTCCCACCTCCAAAGATTCCACTGCCTTCCAACCGTGCCACAAACTGCTGCCTTTGGCCTGTAAGTCTTTGGGAAACATAAAATTCAAAACTCGTAACAAATAATGGGAACCTCTTCTATCTTTAATCAATTCCTCTACATAAAATGTAATTTAAAGGCCAGGTGTAGTGGTATAGGCCATTAGTCCCAGCCTTCTAGAGGAAGAGGCAGGTGGATCTCTGTGAATTTGAGGCCAGCCTGGTCTACATAGTGAGTTCCAGGCCAGCCAGGGCTACTCTGTCCCAAAAAAGTAACTTAAAATTGATTTTAATTTTTGTAAAATTTTAACATTATAATAACTTTTCTGTCGAAAGTAAATTCTACCTTGCAGGAAAAAGAAAACTCAAAACCATCAACTAGTTTCTTTATTTACATGTTAGAACGGGTAAGCCAGTGAAAATCCTAGAAGAAAAAAAAAATCCAATGTTTAGAAGAAACACTTGTATTAAACTGTATCTTCACTGTAATTGCTTTAAAATCTAAAAGAACCACACGATGATGACAAAATGAGTTGTGCTTGGTCTAGTCAAAAAGGAGCTAGAAATTCATTATGAACCTTGTGTCTTATATAAAACAATCTAAATGTTTTTTGGGGTCCTCTTCTACTAAACAGTAACCAGGACACAAAAACTAGAGTAAGAAAGAACCAGAAATACACTCAGAAGGAAAGAAGAGACAAGACCAAGGTCCTAGTTCCGAGAAGCAAGGCTAACAAAAACTGCAGGGAAGCTTCTCCTGGGACTAACACATCCTCACGTGTCACCTAGACACAGATGACCACAGACATTAAGGTACTCTGGTAATAAAACAGGAAGCAGCCAGCCAATACTGTGACTCCATGAATAATGATGGACAGACATGCAATGGAAAAACAACAGCTTGGAAATGAAAATGCGTTAGAATCCCACTGGAATGAAGATAATAATGTAAAGTGATTAAATATAAGGATAATCCTCACAATCCCGTTACAGAGGTGGATAAGAATTTGTATTTCTCCAGAAATACAGTGTTCACAGAGAGACTACACAACAGGTGCTGGAAGCATATCATTACAAGGGTTAGAGAAATCCCTGCGAATGCCCCCTGCTCATCTCCCTCCTGGTTTGCGTGTTCTTCCTTACCAGCAGGCTTTGCCCTAAATGTCCTTTCTTTTGGCTCTAAGAAAAGTCCTGAAGTCTCTAATGTCTACTTTTCTATAAACAGAATTTCAGCAGAATTCTATATATCTGACAGTTCCCAAATTACTTACTATTGATTATTCAGGTATGTTTGCCAATTTGTGCTCTGCCTTGTCAAAAGAGATCCACAGTGGATCCATGTCTAAGAACCAAGAGAGAGTCTGGGGAGATGGCTCAGTAGTAAAGCACTTGCTGCACAAACATGATGACTAGTATTCAGACCCTCAGCACCACATAAATGACTGTGATCTCAGCATTTGGGAGGCAGAGACACAGTCCCTGGGATAAGCTAGCCAAATCAGTGGACTGTGGGTTTATCCAGAGCTCCATAAAAAAATGGAGCACAATGGAAGAAGACATCTGATGTCAACCTCTGGCCTACACATGTACCTGCATACATGTGCACTCATAGATGTGAAAACTCCCCCCCCCCACACACACACCACACGCAAAAAGAAACCAACAACAGAGAAAGATTAATTGCTCTGAAGATGTGTCTAATATACAAAGCGGAATCATGGAGGACAGGTATGTAAGAGGAAACAGTTGTATGGACCAGAGTATAAAACTAAGTATGGTGGGGCTGCAGAGACGCTCAGAGGTTAGAAGCACTGGTGGCTCTTGCAGAGGACTGGGGTCGATTTCCAGCACCCACATGGCAGCTAACAACCATGTTTAGAACTCCAGTTCAAGATCCAACACCCTCTTCTGAAGGCAATGCATGACACAGGTGGTTACATACATGTAGACAATACACTCATATGCATAAAATAATAATAAAAAATTTTAAACAGTAAGTATGAAAAGCAACTTCTGAGATGGGAAGAGATCATGTAACATACTCTGCCATTTATTTCACTGCTGTGAGTCATTGACTTGACAGGTCACAGTAAGGTTGAATGCACCTACACAAATCAACCACCTGCAGTCCCATGTCGCACTGTGAGCACTTCATCTGTCTTCTTTCAGTTCCAACTTGGCCAGCTCCTTAACACAGAGCTTTTGCACACTGTGCCACCTCCTCTTTGCTGAGATGTCTACTCCCCTACTTATCACTCTGTTCTTGGTTTAAGCACCACTTTCCCTGAGCTTTCCCTAGAGCCCCAACATAACCTTGATTCCTTCATTTACGTTTGCCTAGAACATCAGTCCCTTTCCTTCCAGTCATTTTCCTTGCTCTGTCACATAACATTCAGCTGTGCAGTCACCTGCAATCTACCTTCCCTACTGAACTATAAACTCCATGGTGTTGAGGACTGAGCCTGGTTTTACATACCTTACTATTCTTAGCAAGTACCCATAACAATAAATATCTCAACAAATATTTGCTGAACAAGCAAATGAAACTGCCAAACTCAGAAGTAGTTTAGGATGAGCTCTGGGTGACAGAGGGTGTTCCTCTCAGGGGCAGTGGGGAGAGAGCAGATGCATTTCTTGCTTTCTGCTCAGCAAATGAACTTACCTGGGCCTTTCTTGTGCTTTGTGGCTCAATCATGATGTTGATAAGAGAGGGTGTGCTTGTGTCTGCCAGGGTCTGCCTCAGGGAGTTTTGGAGTTCTTCAGGTGTTTGCACAAAATACCCTTTGCCTCCAAATGCAGACATGACCTGCTCATAATGCGAGTTTGGCAGGAGACACATTGGAGGGGAACTGAAAATAAAGTGACAGGCCAATGAAATTCAAATCTTTAAGATTCTAGAAAAAAGTAATTTTACAAAATTAACTTTGAAAATTTTACGCTGACCCAAAGGACATACTTTTTTTTTTCCCAGAACAGTTAGCAATCTATAAAACAAAAATAATTTTCACTGTGCTCCCTTTATTCATCACCCCAGTATTTTAATGTCCCTCAGTGAGTCCAACAAACTCCAGGCCTTTTATTATTAAAAAAAATAGTGGTTTTATCTGCCAGTGACAATATCCTTAAAAGTTAATGCAGCAATAGCTAATAGGTCACTGACAGTGATTTATTTATTTTACTTCATTCCGTTTCCCTTTAAAGCAAAGGGAACTATCATCTGGTCCCAAGTCTTACAGACTGAATATCCAACACCTTTTTTTTTTAAACAAAAAATTTATTGAGAATTTCATACACATTCCCCCCTCTGAAGAGGTAACCCTAAAATCTTTTAAGGATTAGACACAAGCTCCCAAATACTTTTGACATTTTTGGCCTTGGAACAGAGTATGTTGCTAACAGGCCGAAGGACATATTGACTTTTAGCCAAGCAACTGGCTACATTTCTTTGGGGTTTTTACCCTAACTGCCTAGCCAATTCCTACCTCCTGTTCTTATCATGCAATCCTCTGAAGGGGCTACCCAGATTACCAGTCAGGAATAGGTATGCTGACTGCTCTGGCTTCTTCCACAATGAACAGGGACACAGGGTGAGGCAATTGGAGTGCCCCTTCAGTGGGTCTATTTGAAAGACTCCCAAATTCCATAACTCTTGCCTCTAAGGGGAGAAGAAAGTCCTTGAATCATGAATGGGAGATGTGAAGGAGAAGTAAAGGCAAGAATAATTAGAATTACAAGTTCTAGATAGGTAACTAGAAAAAGTCAGAACATGGCAATTTTCAAATGTTCATGTGAGAGTCCATTGGAGTTTCCTGACAAGGACTTCCAAAAGCATCCTTCTATTGGGTTCTTCCTCATTTTTCTTTTGTCTTCCAAGTCTGGACTAGTTGGCTGGGAAGAGTGGCTGGATACTCAGGTGAGGGTCCAGTGACCCTGCTTGGCACTCCTTTAATGAATGAGCACAACCGTCAACAAGCCCAATTGTGACTGTTTAGCGATCAGGCTCAGCGACGTTATGATGATGGTAGTTATTTCATGCAGAAGGGACTGCTGTATAGCATCATCTTATTTTTAAAAAATATTTTGTTTATTACTTTTATTTTATGTGCACGAGTGTACTGCCTGCATGTAAGTAAGCACACTTGTGCTGTGCAATGCCTGCAGAGGTCAGAAGAGGCTCAGAGGTCAGATTTAGCGATCAGGCTCAGCGACGTTATGATGATGGTAGTTATTTCATGCAGAAGGGACTGCTGTATAGCATCATCTTATTTTTAAAAAATATTTTGTTTATTACTTTTATTTTATGTGCACGAGTGTACTGCCTGCATGTAAGTAAGCACACTTGTGCTGTGCAATGCCTGCAGAGGTCAGAAGAGGCTCAGAGGTCAGAGTCGGATCCCCTGGAACTGGAATTATGGACAGTTGTTAGCTGCCATGTGGGTGCTGGGATTCGAACCTGGGTCTTCTGCAAGAACAGTCAGTGTTCTTAACCACTGAGCCATCTCTCCATCCCCAGCATCATCTTATTAAAAGGACCTGGAATTTAAAAGGATTTGGTGCTAGGAGCCACATATGAGGGAGAACATACATCGTTTGTTTTTCTG